GCAAACACCCAACGTTTTGAATTCATTAAAAACCAGAAATGCTGTGTGAACTGTTTTAGTACAAAGCATGCTGGGAAAGATTGTATAAATTCTCGCACGTGTTGACAGTGTAATAAACGGTATTGTTATCTTTTTTATTATATTTTGATAATTCCGTTAAGCCTGTCGACATTAAGCAACCGTCGACATCCGCACCCATGAATGAGTAGCGAGAATGTAACCGTCACGCACTTATTAGCAAAAACCGTAGCGCCGAGCTCCAAAATCTCATACTCGCGACCGCGCGCGTGCGAGTTTATTCGCTACATAAACGTTTTGTCACTGTGCGCGTGCTCCTGGATCAAAGATCCGTCTCTACGTTTATCTATAAATCGCTTACTCAACGCCTACGCCTTTCAAGAATTAATCGCTCCGTTTCCATTACCAGCATTAGCGAATACAGCATTAGAAATACAGTCCGTCGTGCGTTACGCTACCCAAATTACAATTATTCCGGCGTCTCGCGACAGATCTGCCTATACTACGACCGCATTTATACTTCCATCATTAACGAAATATTTATCGAATCAAGTAAATACCGCGTATAATTGGAAACACGTCGCCGGACTTGAACTTGCCGATCGTAACCCCATGAGTTCGGATCCGAACGACATCATAATCGGTGCCGATCTCTTCGACATGCTCGTTCTCGACGGTGTTCGAAAAAATTCCGAACATAAGCCTACCGTGCAAAATACGACATTCGGCTGGATTCCTTCCGGATCAATAGCCTCGTTTCCGACTGAGTCAATTTCCATGCTTGCGCATCACGGAGTTGTTCTTGAAACTCTCGATCACGATCTTCGTCACTTTTGGGAGATTGAGGAAGTGCCTCAGAAAACTCCTTGGAGTCCTGAGGAGCACCAATGCGAAGAGCACTTCAGAACTACGCATTCCCGTACATCAAACGAATGCTATATCGTTCGATTACTGTTTAAAAACGGATCATCTATCTCGATAGGCGAATCGTGCGTTCGCCGCTTGGAACAACACTTAATTCGAGACTCAATTACTGCTTCCGAATACCGTGAATGTCTCGCAGAGTACGAAGCACTCGGTCATATGATCAAAAGTCTATCGACAGAAATTGTCAAATCAGAGCAAACTTATTACATTCCACACCACGCTATCTTACGACAGCAGTGCAACTAGCACTGCTTATGAATGGTTTTCAACGCTTCATGTCGTACATCAAACGGGACATCGTTGAACGACATGCTTATTGGCCCTAAACTTCAAAAGGATTTAGCTATTATCTTAATGCAGTGGCGCCAATACTGTTACGTGTTTACCGCCAAAATGTATCGGCAAATCTTAGTCGACTCCCGAGACACTACCAGCGCATTGTGTGACCTACTCCCGGCGAACCAATCACCGATTACCGCCTTCTTACCGTTACTTACGGCACAGCCGCCGCTCTCTACTTAGCCCTTTGGGTCTTAGAACAATTCAAAGACGATGAAGGTGCCGAATTTCCGCTCGCGGTTCTCGTTTTACGTCATCAAACATACGTTGACAATTGTGCTTTTGGCGCAAACGATCAAATTCTTTCTCGTGATCAATTAATCAAGTTTCTAAAAAAAGGAGGTTTTCGCCTTCAAAAATGGGTGAGTAACGCTCTATTGTCCGAGATCGATCCCGCGGATAATGATTTAGCCACTCATAAGGTTCTTAGACGAGCACCTTAAAGTCTTAGGAATACTCTGGAACCTTAAGCTAGATATCTTTCAATTCTGTGTGACCGTACCGTCAGCACCCGCACCAAATAAGCCATTCTGTCGCTAAGTTTTTCGATCCTTTAGGATGAGCTACTCCCGTTAGTATTACCGCCAAAATTCTCATGCAGCGACTGTGGTCCCTCCAATGCCGGTGGGATGACGACATTCCTAGCAACTTCTTGATTGCTGGTCCGATTGCTATCAATAACATGTCTCGACTTCAATGCCATTAGCATTCCGCGCTGGACTACTTGCGGATCTCATATTCTATACTGCGGCCTTCATAGGTTTTCCGACGCATCGACTGCGACTTTCGCTGCCGCAGTATATCTTCGTAGGTTGGAGCTCAGCGCTCCAACTTCCGAATCTCGAGTGTCACTGCTGGGTGGACTCCACCATTACACTCGCCTGGCTGAGTCAATCACCTTCCCGAAGGAAAATCTCGCCAATCGCGTTTCGGCTGTGCAATTACTCCTTCCCGGAGTTTCGTGGCGTTATGTTCCGACACCAATCCCGCGAACTACGCGTCTCACGGTCTCGCTCCCGATCTTTTCCAGACACATGCTTTATGGTGGTCAGGCCCTCCATGCATCCTCCCGAGTCCTGGCCGAACTCGTACCCTTCGGTACTCCTCCAATGTTCCTCTCGAATAACGCTCAGAACCTTCAGTATGTGCCTTGTACGTTACGCCCAATTGGGATCTCGTATCGCGTTATTCTTCTTGGGCAAAATTGCTACGAACTACCGTTTATCTGTACCGTTTTCTAAATCGACTCCGATGCTCTAAAAATCCACAAGCGAATACCGCGAATTTGCTCTTCGATTCAGAACGCCAAATGCTACTGGCTCAAAACCATGCAGTCAATCTGCTTCCTAATGAGATCGCGGCTCTGACACATAAGCGCCACAGAACAGCCCCCCGCTCTATGCTCTTGATCCTTATATGGACTTATTCGTATTCAGAGAAGACTCTTAAGTCGAGCTTACCTCTCAGAAGCAACGAGTCCGATCTTACGCGCGCAACTCGCGCAACTGTTAGTACTTATTATCCAGCTCTATCATCTTCGAACGTTGCATGCCGATCCTCAATTAACGCTTGCGTCATTACGCCACGAATTCTGGATTTTCCGGATCCGCGCCACTGTTCGATCCGTTCTTTATAAATGCATGCACACGTGAACGCGCTGACGTGCCCGTCGAACTCATGGGCGACCTCCCGGCTATGAGAGTCAACCACATCGCTCGTGCCTTTGTCCATATCGGCGTTGATTATGCAGGTCCAATCGCTGTCCGAATGATTCCCAATCGAGAACATAAATCGCAAAGGGCTTATATCGCATTATTCATATGCCTCACGACCAAAGGTCTCTACACTTAGAACTCGTTAGCGATTATACCTCTTCTACTTTTATCGCAGCATATCAACGATTTATTTTTCGCCGAGGACTATTGCCGTCTATGTCTCGGTAACAGAACCACATTTCACGGCGCCGATCGCGAATTGTCCACCAATGCATATACGAAAGCAATTCACGATCTTTCTAACTTCCGAACTCGCTACAGATGGAACCGTGGCATTTCCTACCCTCTGCATCGCCGCACTTCGGCAGTCTGTGGGAGGCCGACGTTAAAAGTGTTAAGCATCATTTAAAACGATGAATCGGCCTTCACACGCTAATTTTTGAAGAGATGTCGCTCCTCTGTCGGATCGAGGCATGCTTTAATTCACGCCCGCTTCCGTTTCCGATAATCTCGACGATTATCACGCTCTGACTCCCAGTCATTTTTTGATCAGAACTTCTTTTATCGTTCCCACCGAATCAAGCCTGCTTGACTTAAACATAGATTTTCGCGTTGGCAAATAGTTCAAGACATAACCGAAGATTTTTGGAGGTATTCCGGTGATTGCATATCCTTCAACAACGCTCGAAATGGCGTTATCCAGTGACTGGCCAAAGTCGGCCAAATCGTTCTCATGCGTAATCCTCTGGTTTCACCTAATGGAAACTTGGTCGGATCACGGCGTATCATTCAGATGATGACGAATTAACTCGCGTCGTAATTGTAAAAACCGGTCTTTCCGAGTACAGGCGACCAATTGTAAAATTTTGTTTTCTATCCGTCACAATCAATACCGAAGAATCTAAAGATTCCGTGGCGGGCAGAGTTTCCGTTGAACGTACTTGATGTCATACATAAGTTATCGGTCTACAAGCCCGTTTTGAATATATTTTAAATTTAACTCAACGATAAAGATTCGAATCATTACAACAAAGAGAATCGTTGTTATCACACACCGCCTTGGCATACGAGTCTTCCAGACAAGGTGACAGCAGCATCATACAGATGTTAATAATAACTAAGAGTTAAAATAATTAAAGTATACTTGATTCAGCAGTTTTGTGTCTGTTTTCAAATTAATGCTATTATTCTGTTGCGCACTCTGAATAGCATCTATTCCCTCGGCTTTTTATTTATTTTTTAGTTACTTTTAAGTTAGGGAAACGTGATATTCAAATTTTATATATTTTATAATTTTATCATTTTAAATTCTTGACTAATGATTAATTGTTAACATTCTCTTTAACGTATTTAATACCGTTTTTATATAAGTGTTTAATGTTCGTTTTAGATTTAAAACTCGATATAAATTTATAACAATTATTGAATGGTTTCTGGTAAGCAAGAATTATTATGACAAAATATTTTAGAAAATTTAGTATTTGATTTTTTTAAGAAAATAAAAATTATTTTGCAAGAATATTCTTCAATAACGTAAAGACCTCCGCATGTATAAGCTACAGAGACGCTCCTAAGCCAGAGCGTCACATGAGCACTTGACTACTCGGCTGCTATTATCTCGAGCGATAATAGGATTCGCTCGGCGGAATCGGCCCGAAATGTGCAAATCTTTGCGAGCATTGTTAAAACGTTTCCGATAATTTAAAATGAAACTGAAATAGGGCTGAAAATCGGTCTTATAGAGATTTTTCCTTTATTGTTTAAGAACAATTTAAGCAGTTTAAAATGTAAAACATCTTATTTATTAAAAATAAATCAATTAATAAATTTTATAAAAAATTTAAAATCATGTATAATAAAGAGTAATTAATATTTAAAACATTAATTACTATTAATTAACTTTTTAAAAACTTTATTATGAATACCAATAAATTCTGTATAAAGTATATTGCAATAATCATAAGACATTTAATTTTCAAATGGTGCTTCATAAATACATACCTGATCAAAATATTCTGGTTCAGAAGCAGAAGCATCCCATCGATTATTTAAAATAAATATATTTGGTTTTGATAATTTTGTTGAAACTTTATGAAAGAAGTTTTTTTCCTAAAAAAAAAAAATAAAAGTTATAATTATTTAATGAACGATAAAAAGCCTATAATTTTAACCTTGACATACAGGTTAGTCCATTTTAATTCATCTAATAAAATATCCTTAAGACAAAAATGTTTCAGACAAAAGTTGCTTAGTTACTAGAGGGAAAAAGATGGTGATCTTAGTTAATTTGAGAAAATGCTCTTAAGGTCAAGGTCATCAACTCAAGATTATCAACAATTATTTAAATAAAATTGTATAGGTTTTTATATCATTCCTTTAATTATTCTGCAAATAAAAATATTAAGATAAAGACATCGAAAAATCAATAATTCTCGAACTATTTTATACTATATTTTAGTACATATTGATATGAAATATTAAATATCTTGTAAACTGTTCATTTTTTGATAATTGTATTTTAATATTTTTATAGCAGAGAATAATGAGATAAATCAATTGATGTAAAGAAAACACACAGTTGCTTATTTAAAAAATTACGTAGTTGCATATTGCAAAATATACAATTTTTTTTATCTCTTAACGAATATTATCTAGGATTCTGAACAACAGTCAAGAAGTTTTTTAGTCATCAGTCATACATCTTGCGTAATGCTAATGGCGGTATTGTAACTTTCAAGCATAACTTAAAAAGTATTTAATAAAAAAATATTTTCTAATAGTGTTTTGGAAAGACATCAGCTTAGATTCTGGAATCAAAAGTAGAATGTTTCGTTTAAAAATATCGATGTGACCTTGATTTGACCTTGGCGACGCCACTCAAGGTCAAACTGATAAGATCAATAGATTTTTTGAACCTTATACTTTTGTCTGAAACACTTTTCTGTAAAACATATATTTTCCGAGATATTCAGGAGATATTCCTGATCTTTTTTGGACACCCTGTATATATAATTTCAAAAACAAATTTTAGATAATGCTGATTTGACTAATTAAGAATTTTCTCAAGATCATTCAAGATCATCTTTTTCTTTCCCCCTAATATCTGAGTAATTTGAAGTTTTTGAGATTTTCTATCAGAAAATCTCTGTATTAAAATGGATCACCCTGTCTGGTATTAATAAATTCATATTGAGTTTAATTGTTTCGGCAAGAAGTCTTTTAGGATTTTAAAAATATTATAAAAGTATATACGTTATATAATCAATCTTAGAGATATAAATTGTAACTAATCTTAACAACATATGTTTAAGAGCAACAATCAAAAGATTTTAACCATCGCTATATAGTTTATTAAAAAAAAAAGTAATTGAAAAAGTTTGAGAAATATATATATTAATTTATATCAGTGCTAAAAAAAATTGCTATATACATGTAAATACAGTATGTGGGCGTGGAAGTAAAGCTTTCTTTACAAACATTTACTTAAATGCAATAATCATATTCAGCATTATTTACATTAATTGTAGCGTGTAGGCAATGTCAAAAGTTGTGTATGTTTTCATATTTCTTTTACTTTAGGGGGTAAATGTATTAATTTTAAAATACATATTAATAAAATTTTTGAATTGATTATATTGTAATCTAATGAGGATTCTTTAATAAATAATAATGACACGTAAAATTATTACATAAAAATTATTACATAAAATTATTACATAAAAAAATATTCGTTTTTTCAATCATTTCACATATACTGTAACGTGGCATTTTTCGTCTGTCACTGATATGCGAATAAACCGAATAAATCTTGCATCCTGTTCAAGAGGGCGAGCATATTTGCATGTGGGCACAATATTTGAATACAAACTAACTTTTTTTGGTTATCTCTAATTTTTACGAGACATTTTATTAGCTGAATGAAACGTGAGAATCAGTGACTCCTTTACGATTTTGCCTTGTGTGTTGCTATCTCACCCAATTGCCACCAAAGAGGAAATCGATTCAGAGAAGGCTTCGTTGAGAAAATCCCATACTTACAGAAGAGAATGCAGGTCATATATTTCTTATTATTTTCTGCTCGCGTCCGCTGATTGTACTTTGTACTACCGACACCAATTTTGGAGAGAAAACATCGTGATGAAATATGAGTATCTAGAATAGGAATCTTCTTTGAGGAAATAGCAGAAGATCCGAATCAAAGGAAAACATCATTGCAGAAACAGATGTCAGGCTCGTTCTAGCGAGCAATGATGAGCTCAAGATCGTACGAGGAGTCAAGCAGAGAAGATTTGGTTGGCAAAATAATAATCTGCTCAATAATTAGTATTCCACGCCATATCGCGCGTGAAAAATCACGTAATTATTGTGAATCTACGCGATTCGCTGAGTCGCGAAAATCAAAACTGGATCAATCAGCGCACGAGATGACCAGCAGAGCCTGGGTGTTACCTGCGGACTTCACTTACATTGTATCTGTATTCTGTAACTCGTTATGCAATTGTTATGTATAATCATAAAAATAGATATTTTACATAGCGCAGATATTTTACATAGTAAAAAAGCTGCACAATTTTCGTTATGAACATACAACAACTGTATAACAAATTACAGAATACAGGGACTGGCCGGGAACGCTTGGAGAGGATGCAGTATGCTCGTATCGACACTATTTTTTGAGAAATAAATATAGATATCGAAGAAAGCGTCAGAGAAAAGAGAAACCGAAAAATGAAGATATCGAAGGGGCTGAGGAGGAGAAATTAGTAGATGAACATCGATTTTATAAAGTCATCGATTCTGATGTCGTGAGACTGAGCGAACACGAATTCATGTTAATTTTTTGTTCTTCGAACGAGAAGTTACGAGTTTAGATAATTTTGGACGTCCCGTCCGGATTGTCTTGAATATTGTATTACGTTTTTAGCGTTGTGTCCACCGCCTCTCTCGTCACAACTAAGTTATTTGTATCATCGTTTTATGTAAATGTATATTAGTAACGATGATATCCTTGCAAATTTGTTTTATTTTTTCCTTGTGCATTCGAGACGAAAAACAGTCAGTTGCGGTGTAATAATTTCAGTAAATGTTCACTTTAGGAGAAGTCTCTTTGATAACCTTAATCTTGATATATTATCAAGGTCAGGTGGCCCTGAGCAATCTCCAACAAGTTTTAGTCATTGCTCGTTATTCATTAAAAAGTTATTGAGAAGGAAAGTTTGAAAAATGATGTCTCTTTTACAATATATAGAACAAAAATTTTCTGCTTTAAAATATATTTTATGACTGGACGTAAAACGAATTTCATTTCGCCTCCTCCTACCAAGACATGTCTAATTTTCGCGCGAAATGAATTTCACACAAACTCTCCTCCTGTCAAGGGGCGCATGATTTTCCACACGAAGCAACGGACAAAAAAGGGGAGATAGGATAAAAGTTGCTTCGCGCGGAAGCAGGAGAGCTTCGTGCGTTCTCTCTGAAGCAGGAGAGAAAGTGGAGTGAAACCTTAGAGCATATATCAGGTGTACAAGTATGAAATGACGATTTGAGAAACAGATGGCGCACCAATGCAGTGTGAAGTACAAAGCTTTAACATTATACGCCATTTTATTGTACCATCAACAAGTGTCAAACGCGCAAAGTGATTTGATTGAAAAGTGTTTGCATAGTATTGTGTTGTTGTGTTTAACATGACGAAATTTGTACCAAATAAGGAGCATTCGCGGACAGCATTAATTTTTTGTTTTCATTTGAAGAAAACTACTGCGGAATTATACTGATTACTTGAAGAAGCTTATGATGAACATGCTCCATCGCAAAAAACGTGTGAACGATGGTTTCAGCATTTCAAAATTGGAGATTTCGATGTTGCAGACAAGGAACACGGAAAACCGCCCAAAAAATACGAAGATGGAATTGCAAGTATTGCTGGATGAAGATGATTCACAAACACAAAAACAACTCGCAGAGCAATTGAGCGTTAGTCAACAAGTTCCAATCGCCTACGAGAGATGGAAAAGATTCAGAAAGTCGGCAGACTGGGTGCCACATGAATTGAACGAGAGACAGACGGAGAGGCGCAAAAACACATGTGAAATTTTGCTCGAACGATACAGAAGAAAGTCATTCTTACATCGTATCGTTATTGGGGATGAAAAGTGGATTTTTTTTGAGAGTCCCAAGCGCAAAAAATCATGGGTAGACTCAGGCGCACCATCCACATCGACCGCAAGATCGAATTATTTTGGCAGGAAGACGATGCTCTGTGTTTGGTGGAACCAGAAGGCTGAGGATTTTGAAAATTGTACTGATTTGTGCTAGGCTAGCACAACTTAGATATGCAATTTTACGGTATTGATCTAACTGATACATATGTAAGCGTCATTTCTATTCCGAATTATCAAAAATTATATGGACAATAATTTCTTATATGGAAATTAATTCATTTAAATGAATATATATATAATATATAATAGTTCAACTATATATGTATAATAGTTCAACATCTTAACATTCAGACCGTAATGGCGTTTAGTATTTAAGGCTCCTGACTAGTCGCGGTCATGTTGGAATCGTGACGTCAAAAGCGAGGAATGATACATTAATTTATGTTGCATGCCATTTTTAAATACAGTTTCATCCAATTTGGATGAAACAAAATAACGAAATTACTTCAAACTTTTGTAAAAATCGATGGAAACTGTCCTTTTCTTCCTTGACAGTCAGGTACGTAAAGTGAGCCTATATTCGAGCAGAAACACACAGTCCGACAGCTGTTGAAACGAATAAAATATATGCTTTTACATATAAAATTCCAAGATAACTTTAGTTTTCATCGATAATTACAACTTTGATAAGTATGAGAAAAGTCACATTTTCACAATTAAGTAAATAATATAGCATGCAACATAAATTTCGTCGTCAAAACGTCACTTTTTTATCGTCACGCCTTTAAGTTCGGTCATTTATCGTAGTGCAGTGCTAACATACATAAGCACGAGCCCATGTCCATGTGCTCGCCTGCGGCGCACCGAGAGTGAAAGAGACAGCAAGTTCCTTCTCACATCTTGTTTCAAGCGATTGAAAATGTTTTCTCAGCAATCTCCGCCATT